AGCTTCTACCTCGCCCCACCGAGCTCATTGCAAGATAAACGCCCGTGACATACGAAGATTCATTGGCTGGGATGTATTTATTTTCTGGACCCTGAGTTTTGAGTTCACTGATAACTCGGGAATAACAAACTGTTATTGAATAAGAAAACAGCTGCAAAACAGCGATTCAAGCAGACCCGTCCTTGTCGAATACACGGAATGCTTCACGGATCATCTCTGAGTCGGTTTCCTGAAATGGGTAGGAATTCAATTAGAGCCGATTTGCCCTCTACTCAACTTTCACTCCTCTATTCTTATAGAAGGGTTGTGACAGCGAGCTCAATGGCGCAAAGGGTATAAATCACGACTAAAAGCGCTATCTACTTAGTTCTGATGGGAGTGAATTCAATAGATGGACTCCGTAAAAGGATCATCATTCGATCAAGGATTCGTGTTGATCAAGACAAAGTACCTTTCGAGACTTTTCTCCGCCGCTTCTCCGTTTACAGTGGCTAAAATCGCCCCGTGGAGGGATGAGAATTGTAAGGATAGCGCTTATTGGGACCTAGACGTAATTTACGGGCTAACCATTAGAAGGAGTATAAAAAAGGGTGGCGACTTCATTCTTCTGTCTTTTTGTGGTCAATATGGGACCAGCTTTGCCCGGAGAAAGAGCTACTGTGTGTAATAACCTTTATATGACCTAAAACTTTGTTTTCGAGCCATTTTCACCTTGGGAAAATAGAGCAAAATTGCAGGGAATCTTCAGCTTGTAGGGCAATTGCCTCCAGGGTCGGCCGTGGTGCCCATAGCGCCCAAACGGGTTCATAAGCAATTGCCGGAACTTTGAAGTCGGGTAACCACAACCCTGGTAGAACCGGTAACATAGGCGACAGCAATTATTTGCGGCTAATTTTTTTCTGGCAAGCAACATCCACCTCAAAAAAGTAACTGTAAAGTAACCGAAAGTTTCAACTTACTTTCATCATTCGTTTCATCATCACACAAAACTCAGGAAACTCTATTTGACCATTGCCATCCATGTCGACTTCGTTGATCATCTCTTGAATTTCCTGGAATGAGCAAGTGATCTTCCTAGCCCCAGCGACACAGATTGCATGCAAGATCTCTTATCATCTTTGGTTCCCCGGTGCAATTGGGTGACATCCGCCACGTACGTAACGTGCTGACGTCGTTATGATGATCATTTACCAAAGATTGCTTCATCTGAGC